GTCTGACTGCCAGCTTAGGCCCAATCCCCTGGGGGGAGCAGGCCTAAGCCAGCAGGTGGACATCCCCCGAGGGGTCCCAGACTGCGAGAGGGCACAAGCTGGGCTGAGGGACCCACCCCCGAGTGCACAAATTTTTGTGCACCGGGCCTCTAGTGTGTGTGTATGTGTGTGTGTGTATGTGTGTGTGTGTGTGTGTGTGTGTGTGTATATATATACACACACACATATTTAATTCTCACCTGAGGATGTTTTTTTTTTTAAATATATTTTATTGATTTTTTTACAGAGAGGAAGGGAGAGAGATAGAGAGTTAGAAACATCGATGAGAGAGAAACATCGATCAGCTGCCTCCTGCACATCTCCCACTGGGGATGTGCCTGCAACCCAGGTACATGCCCTTGACCGGAATCGAACCCGGGACCCTTCAGTCCGCAGGCCGATGCTCTATCCACTGAGCCAAACCGGTTTCGGCCTGAGGATGTTTTTAAGATTGATTTTTAGAGAGAGAAACATCCATGTGACAGAGAAATATCAGTAGGCTGCCTCTGCACCTGCTGACCCAGCGGGATCCAACCTAAACCTAAGTATGTGCCCTAACCTAGAATCCAACAAGAAATCCTTTGGTGTACAGGTTGAGACTCCAACCAATTGAGCCACCTTGCCAGGGAAGATTTGAAAAAAAATTTTTTTAATATACCTCCAGGCCCTGGTCAGTGTGGATCAGTAGTTAGAGTGTCCTTCCACACACCAAAGGGTCGTGAGTTCTATTCCAGGTGAGGGCACATACACAGGTTGTGGGTTCCATCCCTGTCGGATTGCTTGGGCAACTGATCGATGTTTCTCTTTCTCTTCCCCTCTCCCTTCCTCTCTCTCTAGAATCAATGAAAAGGACATATCCTTAGAGGAGGACTTAAAAAGAAAAAAATAATATGCTGGTTTGGTTCGCTTCTGCAGGCAGACTGAAGGGTACCGGGTTGGATTCCGATCAAGAGCACGTACCTGGGTTGGAGGCTTAATCCAGGGCCCTGGTCAGGAATTCAGCAAGAGGCAACCAATTGATGTCTCTCACATTAGTTTCTTTCTCCCTCCCTTCCACTCTCTGTAAAATAAATAAATAAATAAATAAAAATCAATACAAAAATGTCCTCAGGTGAGGATTAACCAAAACAAACAAACAAACACCCATTCCCAGTGTGATTATTGAAGGAGCATATGAAGTACTTGTTGAATGAACAGGAAGGGATGAGACTTCACTTTCTAACTGTTTTAGCAACTCTGCAAGCCAGAGGGTTTATTTTTACTTCATTTTGTTAATATATTTTATTGATTTTTTACAGAAATGAAGGGAGAGGGATAGAGAGAAACATCGATGAGAGAGAAACATCGATCAGCTGCCTCCTGCACCCCCCTACTAGGGATGTACCTGCAACCAAGGTACATGCCCTTGACTGGAATCGAACCTGGGACCCCTCAGTCCACAACCGATGCTCTATCCACTGAGCCAAACTGGTTAGGGCCAGAGGGTTTATTTTGTTTTAATTTTTTGTCTTTTTTATTTTTTTAATTTCTTTATTGATTAAGATATTACATATGTGTCCTTATCCCCTCATTACTCCCAACCCCTCCACTTATGCCCTCACCCCCCTGTTGTCTGTGTTCATTGGTTAGGCTTATATGCATGCATACAAGAGGGTTTATTTTTTATTTTAATTTTTATTGATTGATTATTTTAGAGAGAGGAAAGGAGCGAGAGAAACACCAGTGTGTTGTTCCACTTATTATGCTCTCTTTGGTTGCTTCTTGTCTGTGCCCTGACCAGGGATCCAACCCACAACCTTGCTGTATCAGGAGGATGATCTAACCCACTGCGCTGTGCACTGCCTATCAGGGCCCCTCAACAAAACCCCTCTGGTTGCCTTGGCTGCTGCTGTGGGCTGGAGCTCCTCTGCCACAGCAAAGGTTTGGGGTTCCATTCTGTCAGGGCACCTACTTAGGTTTTGGGTTTGATCCCCAGTCCAGGCTGACTGCTGCTCAGGAAGTGACCAAGGACCATTGAGGTCCGTGTGCTCTAGTCTTCGGCAGGGAGTTGGGGTTCCATTGCTGACATGGCTGACTCTGATCCCAGCTACCCCCGCTCCTCCATCGAGGGCGACTTCAACTATGGCAGCTGCGTGGCCTCTAGGTAGGTCGCCTTCTCCGTGGCTCGCCAGGCCTGGCTGCTGTGCAGTCGCCCTGGGAGGCAGATTTCCAGGTTCCCAGGGAGAGCGCCCTCCGTGCCAGACTCCCAGGGAGAGTGGGGTCCTGGAGGGAAAGCACTTTGCTTCACCTCCCTTCGGGGCTTCCAGGCAGAGCAGAGCGCCTGTCCTGCTCAGGGCTCCAAGGGGAGAGCCGCCCCAGGGAGTCCTCCTAGCTGGGTGTGAGAAAACGAAACTGGAGCCCTTCCTCCTTGAACCCTGTCGTCTTCAGGCATGTAAACGCATTTTATTTTATATGATGCAGCCTCAGGAGCCTGGCCTCTTGTGGCACACAGCCACACCCACCTGCTCCTGCCAGACATTATCCGTGAGGGCGTCCTGGCTAATTAGCATATTTCTCTCTTATTATATAGGATTATATAAGATGCTTTGAAGAGTTGAAGCAAGGGAGTAACATGATGCAATGACATTTTGAGATCACTCTTAATCCTGTGTGAACAGTGGACTGGAAAGACCAAGAGTGGAGGCAGGAAGGCCAGATAGGAAACTGTCATCCAAGTGACAAATGACAGTGGCCTTCATAAAGCTGTGCAAGAGGATAGACTGCATGTGGGGACTCAGGGAAAGAGGAATGAAGGCTTACACCTAGGTTTCCAGCTTGGACATCCAGGTGGATGGTTGTGGTACTTACCTGAAATGGCCAAGACTTTGGGGTGAGAGAGATTTGGAATGAAAAAGAAAATGGAGAATTTCATTTTAAGATTTAGAGCATGTTAAATTTCAGATGCCGGTGAAGTATCAAAGTCCCAAGCAATGCTTTGTTCTTCACGGGGTTGATTTGCACCATAACCCACTACTACCCATCACTGATGGCTTTGGAAAAGACCAATGTGAAATTACATTGCCAGAGTCCATGTTCACAGTGGAATTATTTGTATTTTAGTGTAAATGTTTGAAATCCGGTGTGAGAAGCTCTGACCATGTTGTTCAGAGTGTGAGTGAAAGGCCTTTGGCAGCAGAATAACCTAGATCAGTGATGGCGAGCCTATGACACGCGTGTCAGAGGTGACACGCGAACTCATTTTTTGGTTGATTTTTCTTTGTTAAATTGCATTTAAATATATAAAATAAATATCAAAAATATAAGTCTTTGTTTTACTATGGTTGCAAATATCAAAAAATTTCTATATGTGACAAGGCACAAGAGTTAAGGTTTTTCAAAATGCTGACATCCCGAGCTCAAAAGGTTCCCCATCACTGACCTAGATCCTTATCAAAATGCAGATCCCTGAACCCACCTCAGTCTTTTTGAAGGTTAATTGGAGGGGCCGGTTGCATATTAACAGGTGCCCCAGGGATTCTCTCTGAGAACCATTGCTGTGAGAAGCAACCACTGCTGTGAGAAGGTGCTGAAGAGATGAGGACTGAGTGTGGGCAGGACTGTAAGCCTAAGCTTGAATTGCAGATGCTGACTTGAGTTTAGGGAAGAGCCAGGGATTCTGCACTTCTCACAAGCTTCTAGATAGGTGATAGTATTGCTGCTGGCCTGGGTCCACACTTTCAGTAGCAAGGAGCAGATCAGTGATGATCAATGGGAGATGATTTTGCCACTGCCCCCTACCCCCTTCAGGGGATATTTTTTGGTCATTACAGTTGGGTGGTGCAACTGGCAACTAGTAGATAAAGGCAAAGGAAGCTACTCAATATCCTACAATGCACAAAACAGTCCTTACTACAAAGAATTATCCCAGCTAAACTGTCAGTAGTGTCACTGTTGAGAAACTTTAGGCTTGATGATAGCCAAAGAGTATAGAGCAGGGAACCTTTCTTGGCTAGGATCCAGCACCTGATAGGAGTGGGCTAGATAAGGGACAGGAAATATACCCATGAAGTGAAACTGCAAAACAAAGTTTCCAAATGAAGCATGGTGTCTGCCCTACACCAGGGTTTAGCATGGATTAAATAGAGCTTGAAGGCACATGTAGTGCCTGGTAAGGCAGATTCCTGTTTTTATTAAAAATAACCCCTCACAAAATAAAAAATAACCCCTCACATTTGTATCGCACTTTAGAACTTACCAAACATTTTCATGAGTTATATTGTTTTTTTAATATATTTTTATTGATTTCAGAGAGAGAGGAAGGGAGAGAAACATCAATGATGAGAGAGAATCTTTGATCAGCTACCTCCTGCACACCCCCTACTGGGGATGGAACCCTCAATCTGGGCATGTGCCTTGACTAGGAATCATGACTTTCTGGTTCATGAGTCAATGCTCAACCACTGAGCCATACAGCTGGGCTGTGTCATACTATTTGATCCACATAACACCCTAATGAGATAGAGCAAGGATTATTATATCTATTTCTTGAAAGTTAACCATCAACAGCCAAATAAATGTTTGCTGAATTGAATATAACTCAAATTGATCCCATTATGGGTGACCTCAGACAAGTCAGGACACCTCTTTGGACCAACTGTAAAATGGTAGGGTTGGATGGGATGATTGGTAAGGCCCATTCCAGTTCAGACATTGGAGTCATTTTGTGATTTTACCAATGAACAAATTCTAAGTCTTGGATTATTGCAGACTCAGGGACTCAGGAGTCCTGGCTATGAGATGGGAGACCTTAGGGTAGGATGTAGTGGTCTTGACCCAAACCCTTCTTCTTCTCCTGGATCCTGGGGTTGGGTTGGTGAGCACATACATCCCCTCCCCAGAGTACAAGTACACCCTCCTCATCCCTTTTGTCTGAGGTGGGAAGGGGCTGACTCCTGGGCTGATGCTCTTTACTTTCCCCACAGGCTGTCTACAAGGCCTGGCTGTGCTCAGAATACTTCAGCGTGACCCAGCAGGAATGCCAGCGCTGGGTGCCCTGCAAGCAGTACTGCCTGGAGGTGCAGACCCGGTGCCCCTTTATACTCCCTGACAATGAAGAAATGGTGTACGGAGGGCTCCCTGGTTTTATCTGTACAGGTAAAGGCAGGGCACTGGGGAGGAGGGAGGAGGCCAGAGCCCAGGGCAGCACCAGGTCCGGGGTGTGGTAGCAGGGAGGACACCAGGGAAGTCAGATTAGAAGAAGGTAAGTGGCTGGAGGAGCGGGCAATGAGGTCCCCAAGTTGGTTGGGATAAGGGCAAGTGGAATAGGGGCAGAGAGTAGAGTGGTCCTCTCTACCCAAATCATGCCCATCCAGGGAGCTATCCCAGAGAAATGATCTGGAGTCCCTGGGAGAGAAGACTCCAGAAAAGGAAAGTGGTAAGGGGCAGGGGGAAAGGAGTCTTGGGCACGGCTATCTGAGCAGTCAGTCCCAGCTTTGAAAAGCTCATCTCTAGGAAAGGCCTAAGCCTGAGCCCCCTGAGCACCCCACCACACCTTCCTTATCCATTGGCAGGGTTGCTGGATACTTCGCCAAAGCAGCTGGAAAGCAAGTGCTGTGACGTGCAGTGGGTCTCCTGTGAGTCGGAAAAGAAGAAGTTCAAGGAGTCTGAGGCCCCCAAAACCCACCACCAGCAATTCCACCACTCCTATTTCCACCACTACCACAAACAGTACCGTCACTACCATCCCCGCCATGACCCCCCAGGCCATATCAGCCACAAGCCCTCCCTGCTGCCGGTCTCTGGGGGCTCCCGCCTCAGCCCCAGCAGGATCCGGCTCTATGTCCTTGTTCTCATGCTCCTCCATACCATGGTGTCCTTCTCCAGCAACCAGAGTGGTGGGGGACTGGGGCTGGAGGCACTGCCTGCCCTAGATGAGGGCCTGACTCTGGAAGAGTGACAGCAGGGAGGGAAGACAGACCTCCACCACACACTGACATCAGTTCCAGCTCCCCCAGGGGCAGCGGGAGGGGGCTCCTCCCATGGGAGATATAGGACCAGGTGGGGGGGTGGGGGGAAATGAGGGACTACACATGGTCCCCAGCCTACTCCCACTCCAAAAGCAGCCCCAGCAGAATGGCCAGAGGGCCCCAGGGAGCTGCAAAACTCATCCAGGAGAAGGCAAGAGCAGCAGGCGCCCCATCCTAGGCCCCCATTTATGGGGCTTCGCAAACAAAAAGGGGGGGAGTGGGGGCTGGCATTGTCCACCCCTGCTGAGGACCCTCACCCCAGGGAGGGAGGCTGCTATCCCAGCATTGGCCCTGCAGGGAATGTTGGGGGGCCCAGAAGGGAGCAGCTCTTTCCCCCCTTCACATTCCTTTTGTTGCCAAGATCCTTAATTCCCTTCTGCCCATACCCCAACACGGACGGTGCAGTGGCCCTCCTCCAGTTCACCTTGGCCCACATGAGACCACAGTAGGGAAGTGCCAGGCTGGGAGATGAGGTGTGCACAGTCACAGCTGGGTCAGGACTCCAGTTAACTGCCCCACCACCCTAGGCAATGAGGGGTAGGAATGGGATGCAGAATGAGTGGTGAGAGAGTGGAGATAGGAAAGAGGGAGAGGAGAGTTGTAGGCAGAGGGCTTAGAGCAGCGGTTCTCAACCTGTGGGTCGTGACCCCTTTGGCGGTCAAACAACCCTTTCACTGGGGTTGCCTAAGACCATCCTGCATATCAGATATTTACATTACGATTCTTAACAGTAGCAACATTACAGTTATGAAGTAGCAATGAAAATAATTTTATGGTTGGGTCACAACATGAGGAACTGTATTTAAAGGGCCAGAAGGTTGAGAACCACTGGCTTAGAGAGATGGCTAAATGGGCTATTGCTACCAGGCTTTGGGGAGGTGGATGATCAGTGTTGAGGCAGGCTCAAAGACAGCTCCCAAAATCAAAAAGTGATGTATAAGGAGCCCTGTTGGGGGAAAGTGCCAGAAATGGGTTGCTGGGCCTTGAAACAGAAGGCTGAGGTCATATGGTCAGACTGCCGCTGTCTGGAGGGCCATATCTTACAGAAGGTGCACATACTCCCAAGAGCCGCTCTTGCCCTGGAGATCTTAGCCTTGAGGACAAAGACATTTCCATTTCTGATCTCCATGGGGAGGAGGGACTTAAGCCCAAGTAGGTCAGACCTGGCCTGGATCCCCATAACTCCCCCATCTTGCCCTAACCCAGACCTCCATGATGGAGAATCTGGTGGCATTGCCCCAGGGCTTTCCAGAGATGAGCCCCCACCACCCATCCCTACCCTGTCCCCATCCCCAGCCTACCAAAGAGTATTCATCTCTTCCCATCTCTGACCCCATGATACACTATTCCAATAGTGAAACAACCAGGCTCCTCCTCACCCTGTACCTGGTCCGCTGATCCAGCCACCCTTGCTCCTTGCTGGAGAACATCCAGAAACTGGCAAAAAGGACCCACTGAATAAAGAGAATGTGCTGTCATCTGTTGGCTGACAGACTTGAACTATTTAGCCAGGTTAGAGGGCTGAGTGAGAGAAGAGTCATCAAGAGCCCTTTGGGAGCCATTAGCCTTGTGCTGATCTCTTGGGAGTGGGAGACCACATTGCCTGGACATCTCAAAGCCAATAGGAAGCCAGAACTGTTCTGGAACAGGCCAAGCGGCTTTGGTGCCAGAAGAACCTGTGTCCTAGGATGTGATGCCAGTGAATTAAGGGGATGTGTAGCCATGGAGCCACATTAGGTAAAACAAAGAAGGGAATCGAGAGGGGACAGCTGAAATTAATTGGCTGGGGGATAAATGGGAGACTTCCCTTGTAGAGAAGGAATCATTCAAGGGCCTCAGCTGTGTCCCAAATAGACTTCATGAGACTGGGGAGTCCTTCCCTGCCAGTTTTCTCATTTCTCACAGCATGCCCCCTTCCCCCACCCATATGCCCTGCCCACACACTCCCCTGTTTGGCCCTCAGCACTTTGGGCCTAGCCACATACCCCATCCCTAGAGTGCTCTTTTCAGCTGGGGAGGGAAAGAGGTGCTGGCTCCTTTCCAGAGATGCTTATGTAGACATGAGAGACCCTAGGTACTGCCTTCTAACTCCTGCATCCTCAGGAGGGGAAAAGGGGACTGGGAAGTAAAGGGGGACCTAAGGGCCCTAGGGAATGGATCCTTGGAGACTCCCATCCTCTCTTCCCCCTCACCAAGTGCCCAGGAGACCCCTGGCTCAGACCAGCCCAGGGCCTTGCCCGGTGGCAGGGGAAAGGGGCACCTCACTCCACCTCAAAGTCATTTGATTGTCCCTATCCACCCCACCACCCAGATCTTACACTACTCCTCAAGCTGCCCTGCCCTCCATCACAGGCAGCAGAGCTGGACAGCTTTCTTACGCCATTTTCTACACTGTGCTTCATGAGTAGGACTTTCTTGCACTAGTTTCTATGACTGAGTCTCCAAGCTGGATTCCTAGTAGTCCCCTGTTCCTTCCTCCCTTACCTGGCTGATTCAGTTGTCCCCCTTTCCCCGCCTCTGTGTTTCGGTGAGAGTCTCTGTATGTGTACTGCTTTCTGTTTTGTTGCATTGTGGAGCAGAGGCCTTTCTGCTCTTGTTTAACCCCATAAAGAAATAAATTGTAAGACTTGATGATAACCCTTCCTTCATGGTTGTGTTCTGTGGAATCAAGTGCTACCAGAGGAAAAAGTCTATGGCTTGGGGAGGAGGTGGGACAAGAGGATGCTGACACTGTACCTGGCTCCTTGATGGCTCAAGTGGGGGGGGGCAAGGAGAGGCAAACTCTGTAGTAGGCCATTATAGACAAGGAATCACAAACTCAACCTCCTGCCGGGATCAGGTGGGAAGGGGTGAAGTGCAGACCCCAGCATTGTGAGTGGTGATGAATACAGGGCACTGCAGGCTACAGGGGCAGCTGAAGCCCAAGGTTGTCTTTGGGAATGTGGGTTCAATGTTGCCAGATCTCATTCTTTAGGGGAAATCAGGACTCAGGGTTTTTACGTGAAGCTTTCTAATTTCTAAATGTTGGTTTGAGTAAAAAACAAACAAACCTCTGTGGGGACTAAACACATCTGCAGGCCCCAAATAGCCTGGGGATGAGCAGTTTTGTACATTTGTTTCAGCCTTTGGTTCTAGTCTTCCAGCCTCATCTCCTATACTGCTTCACCAGGCCCATCTTCCCACCACAGGAGTGAAGGGGGCTCAGGAAGAACTGATGGAAGAGCAGCAGGCAGAGCCCTCCACAACTACCTCTTCGCATAAACAGGGAAAGGGAGAGCATGAGTTCAGAGGAAACTGGTGTCCTCACTGAACTGCTGAATTCCTTTGCCAAGAAAAGACAAATCCCCCAGCTCTCCAAAGTCAGCATAGCATAGAGGTTAAGTACTGGTCTCCACAACCAGAATGTATGAGTTCACTATCTAGTACCACCATCTCCTACTTATATGACTTTGCACAAGTTCCTTGACTTCTTTGAGCCTTAATGTCTTCATCTATCAAAAGGGTTATTGTGAAAATCAGATGATGTACACAAAATACAATAATGGTTGGTTATTCAAATACTGATGATTATCATCATCATAATATGTCTTCTCTTTCCTTCACCTCCACCTAAAATAGTCACCAAGTTCTATCAATTCCACCTCTGTAATAAGGGCCAGTCCTTCTCTTTTCTACCCCCACTCCCACTCAGCCACTTTAGGCCCTCAGTAGCTCCTGCCTGGACTATTGCAATGACCTACCAAGTAATCTCATGTTCAATTACTTGGCTCCAACCCACCTTCCCCCAGCACAGTGCACTTAGGCTATTAGGAGACACTCCACAAATACTTTGTTGAAAGAACTGCTGCCATAAAGTATACATCTCATCTTCCTAAAGCAAACATATTACTCCAGTGATCGAGAACATCAGATGGCTCCACATGGCCTGTAGATTCAAGTGTAAACTTCTTAGCATGACTGTCAAGGCTCTTAGTATTCTGATCCTATCCTTCCAGTTTGATCTTCCACCACAGGCTATCACACATTTGTCCCAGTCACATTTTACTGCTGGTCATTCACTTAATGAGCTCTGCACCTTCTCATCAGACCTTTGCTCACATTGTTTCTTCTGCCCTTAATGCCTTCTTTCCATCTCTGCCTATCACTGCCTTACCCAGTTTTCAAAGTCCAGCTCAAATGACCACTCTGCTATGAAGACTTCCACATTCCCCCTCTCCCAAGCTGAGAACAACTTCATCCTCTTCTGTACTTCTATAACATTTTGTGCCTTGATCGTGGTACTTATTACATCCTACCTGTATTCAACTTAGTCATTCATTCATTTACAATATACCTATTGAGCAATTACTGTATGTGAAGCACTGTGCTGGGTGCTTGGAATACAGCAGTAAAAGAAACATATTGGGGATCCACAAGATAACATGATGTTATACATTTGGCAACCATGATATGCTTACTAGAACACTGAAGTTTTTATCTCACCAAATGTCCATGAGGAGACCCAAGCTTTCTTGGTCTTGGGGATAGAGAAGAGATGTAAGGAATTGGAGGTGGCTGCATAACCATAGTTCTAAGGCAGTAAAGGGCACAATGGCTGTGCCAAGGAAGTAGCCCTACCAGCCACATGCCCTTTGACCCTTGCAGCCACCCCTCTGAGCAACCCCTTTGACCCAGGCCCAGGCCTTAATGTTCTCCCTTCAGTTCTAACTGCAGACAGTCTCAGTGTCTCCCAGCCTCAGCATTGCAAGGAAGGATGATGGCAGTGGCTCATAATCCTGCAAGTGCAACAGTGTCACCTGGAGAGTTTTCACTCTAGCCCTACCAGCAGAGATTTGGACTTAATTAGTCTAGGTTGGAGTCCCAGCTTCAGTATTGTTTAACAACTCCACAGTGATCCTAATGTGCAACCAGGCTTGCCAATCATGGATGAAGAGAAGGCTGGAGCTACATGAAGTTCTTGTTATTTGAGGATAAGAGGTGCTAGAAAAAGGCCACTTGCCATGAATCTACTCGAAGCAGAGATTGACATTTCACAACAGAATAGGGGAAAGAAAGAGGAAAGGGTTTGATTGGGACTTTGCCTTGAGAAACAAAATTGAAAATGTGGAAAATATTTGTTTAAATTTAAAATGAATAATTGCAAATATGCACTAATTCTTAGAATGAACAAAAACAGAATCAAGCATTGGGGAAATAACATAATTTTCCTGTCCAAAGTGCATGAGAACACAACATTGACTTTTGACATACAATCATAATCACATAATCAGTTTTTTTTTATTACTGGTTCAATTTCATTGCTAATCATCTGTTTAGATTTTCTTTTCTTTTTTTAAAATATATTTTATTGATTTTTTACAGAGAGGAAGGGTGAGAGATAGAGAGTTAGAAACATCGATGAGAGAGAAACATCGATCAGCTGCCTCCTGCACATCTCCTACTGGGGATATGCCCGCAACCCAGGTACATGCCCTTGACCGGAATCGAACCTGGGACCTTTCAGTCCGCAGGCCGACGCTCTATCCACTGAGCCAAACCGGTTTCGGCTGTTTAGATTTTCTTATTTGTTCCTGGTTCTTTGGGAGATTACTCGCTTCTAGAAGTTTGTCCATTCTTCTAGATTGTTGAATTTGTTGTTCATAGTATTCTTTAATGATTCTTTGTATTTCTGCAGTGTTGGTTGTAACTCAATCATGAATAGTCT